GGCGCTTGCTATAGGGCCAATTGTGGCTTTTTCTAAAGTGGAACACTGCAGGGACAAAGAGTGAATCACGCTGCGAATTGATGGCCTTCTGACTCACAGCATGTAGATCAGAGCCCTAAGAGGATTGTCTCAACTGCACCCTTCTTTCCTTAGTCTCTTGGTCTGTGTGTCATGTGTAGATGCCTTGATTGTTAATTGCTGTTCAGGCCTGCACAGTTCACAAAGCGTTTGTGGGCAGCTCTGGGCTATGGCGGGCCAAGGGATGACAATTCTTTGAAGGGCAGGGGGAGGGAGAAGGTAGTGAAAAAAGTTTCCACAATGACAAAGCCTTTAGAGACAAAGGTAAAGCAATGATCATTGCAAGGAAACAGATAGGGGCAATGGGTTTGGGCCAGCGTTTCCCACACCTCACACTCACAAACATGCGATCGTCTGTCAGAGTAAAGGGGTGGAGATAACCCGGCATATTCTCGCAATGGAGGGTTTGAGATGGAAGCATTAGCTCAAGGACAGGAGGGAGGTTTTTTTTTATTGTCAGAGTGAGGGCAATTTTGTTTCTCGTCACGAAGGAGAGGTGTTGTCCTCTCCTATCCCCTCTGTGTCGTGGAGAGAGTGGGTAGAGGGAGGGGGTGGTCTTGAAAAAAAAAAAAATCTCCTTGTAGCCCGGGTAAGTAATGCTGGCGGGGGAAGTTCAAAAATGTTCCACAATGGAAAAAAGTCATTGGGTGGACTACTCTTCTTCTTCGAACTATGTGGTGGAGGAGGTCGGCTCATCAAAGGAAGATAAAGAGTTGAAGTCTGCTTTTAATCATTAAGGGACTCTGTGAGGTTGCTTGCCTACTGTTTATATCTTCCGAACTCTGTGGTGGAGGAGGTCGTCTGTTGTGGAGGTCGGCTCGTCGGAAGATGATGAAGAGTAGGGGCATTGTAGGGAAGAGGGTGGATGGTTTCTTAATCTTCACAGCTTGTTAAAAAAAAAGGCTTTCTCATGAGTAGCTGGTTTTAACAGGCTGGCAGTTTACTCAGGTTTTCTAAAACTCCTTGGTTTGTTCTCAGATTTTCTCAGGTGAAGCCGCTATTGGTCGTGGTATTTTAGTGCTTGTAATTTCATATGGGACGCTGGACCCGGTTCCCAGCACGTGCTGCTCCCCACGAATAGATTGGAACTTTTGTCCCAAAAAAAAAGAAAAGAAAAAAGAAAAAAAGGAAAAAAAAGAGAGAGATGGAAGCATTACGTTAAACTGTTTTGGAAAAGTATACGTACTAACAGCACGACAAACATTTTTGACTTTGAAACCGAAAAGTTCACAAATCTGCTAAGAGTGGATATGTTGACTCTGCTTAAACCACCATATCAGCTGAGGCTACGTTGTATGTTTTCTCATGGACATGAAAAACCTTGTACAATGCTTCGACCCACTGTACACAGAAATAAAAAGGGGAGGTACTTTGGGATGTGCAGAATTTGTAGTAACCGGATTCGGTGATTTTTATCCCTGATTTGTGGCAACAAAAAATTCCAGGGAAAAGCGGGGATGTTGGACAGGTTACCCCGCATCCGGGAAAAAAGAAAGGTTTGACCTGTGAAATTATTAGAACCAAACTGAACGGATTTTTCTATCAATGTGACCCGTTAGGAGTGACTTTTATGACTGGGCACGTCCAATTTTTTTGTTTTTTCTTCCCGTTCAGGGATGTTGGCTTGTTTGTACTTTTCCCAGAACTGGTGGTTTAAACCACCAGTACTTCCTAGAGTCGTGCCCGCTAACGTGCCACGATTTTAGGAAACGTAGGTAGCACCCAAATTCATCCGACTAGAAACGTTTCTACTCTTTTTTCTTCCGCGGCCGATAGCTGGGCCAAGTACTGGTGGTTTAAACCACCAATAATTTCCCCAGCCATTTTTCTGCGATGTGCCTGTCCACATGTCGAGTGGTGGGAGGTATTGGCGTGCCGTTTCAAGCAGAATTCATCCAGCCAAAAATGGTTACACGCATGATCTATTTCGGCAGGATGTTTCTCATGTGAAACAGCAGGCCTGTTCATCCTGACAGGTGCAGCTTGACAACAACCATGTTGCAAAAAGATGGCTGGGGAAACCCGGGAAAGTACGGGTAGTTTGAAAGAGAGGACGTGAGGAAGGGTGCACAAGAGAAAGTAACATGCACCGATAGTCCATCACCTTGCTCTCAATCTTAAACCAGCAGTACCTCCACCACTATGTGGCCACGGGGGCCTCACCTCGACTTTCGGAGGCCGCACCGCGACTTAGGCCGTTGATGAAAAATCTCAGTGGTCCCCGGCCCTGAAAGTCGCGGTGCGTTAAAGTTAACACCTTGGAACCCCGTAGTGGCAGAGGTACTGGCGGTTTAACCATGCGGCCAAACACAAGCTTTCTTGAAAAAGGCTCCTGAAAACCTACCCTAATTTGTTGAATTGATCAACTCAATCAAATGAGATTAACTGGTGCCGTTGTCTGCTTTCCTTAGCTCGCAAGATACATCAGCTGTCTTTGCAAACGCAAACTCTGCTGTCTCAGCCATACTCCCAACCGTAGACACTCCATCATCTCACTAGATAATTGGGGCCAATCCCTCACCCTGCTATGTCCCAGAAGGTCATTGGGCACCCTAATTCGTTGTACTGGAATCAAAGAATGCAATGGGATGAGATTAACTGGCGCCGTTGTCCCCTTTCCATAGCTTGCAAGATACATCAGCTCTCTTTGGAAATGCGAAGTCAGCAGTCTCCTCAATACTCCCGACTGTAGACAGTCGATCATCTCACTAGGTAGCTCGGGCCAATCCCTGACTCTGCTAGCTCCGAGGAGGTCATTGGGCAGACAGTCTATAGTCTCACTAACTAACTCAGGCCAATCTTCACCACGCTATGTCCCGGAGGTCGTTGGGCTGCAGGTCTTCGTGCCGTACTAAGCCGTACTTGTCACCCGGCCTGCTAGATTACTACCTGCACCGTTGGCACTTTATGAAGACCACTATTCGTGCCAGGTATTCTGCAGACCATAGTGCATGGTATCTTTCAAGTGCAAAATTCATAGCACGCTAATTTGGGAGGGGGGCAGCCCTTAGCTATAGAAGAGAAAGGGATAGTCGTTCTGGAAGAGATTGAAATGGTATGGGGGAAGGGTCATGGGCGAAGGAGGAATGCTTGGATTCACCTAGCACCATGAATAGATTCAAGATTCCATCCTTTATCTAGTCAGGAGGGAGGAAGAAAGTGAAGCAAAAAGGCAAGAGAACGCGGGTTACAGAGGTAGAAGTAGAAAAGGTCGGGGGCAAGAAAGCTAATGATAGCCAAGACCCACGCAAAAAGCGGTTGGGATAAAGCAGCTTTTTGCATGGAAGGTTGAGAGAACAAGTGACAAACGACATGGCACTTCTGCTCTCAAGAACGACGAAGGAGAAAGACAAGAAGTCTGGAGGAGAAGCAGTGCAGGGCGAAGAGCAGGGGGAATGTGTAGCGAGGTGGCACAATTCCTAGTGCATGCTGACGAGGATTGGTTTCAAAATGCGAAATGACAAATTTAATGTCATACGACCAAAATTGTGCACACAAGATTGAAAAGAATCAAATGCAATCACCATCACTGTGCCATGTTGTAAACTAATTAGTGATGGAGTAGTCTGCCAGGACTCGGCCAAAAAAACACTTTGAGATCCAGGGGCAGAAATCAAAACTCATGCTGGTGTACAAGCAATCCTATCAAAACTCATGCTGGTGTACAAGCAATCCTAAAACCAGTGAATATTGAAGCTTACAAAAAGCTGAGCTCGACATAAAATTTGGGATGGTTTGTTTGTGAACCAATTGCAGTTCTTCTTTTCTATTTTTCATGCTAGAAGGAATTTAGCCCCAATTGCACCTGACAGGATTGAAATCTTCATCAGTCTATCAATATTTACGTGTGAACCATTCAGCCACCAGACAAGTATAATGGCAGATTTGTCGGTGCACTAGAGCATTCAAAAACATTGATTACTAGTTTTATTTTCTTTAATAAAATTGGGGCTCACTAATGAGAAGCGTCACATCGTGCTCTTCCAGGTAAGATAGCTTATAGTTGGCGTAAGCGAAGGCACATGAAAAACAATGTGTTCAGAAAGTAAAATGGCTCAGTGAAAGTGATCAGGAAGAAGAAGCTGCTCTCATATCTAAGGAATTCTGACGGAATTGTATTCTTTTCAGTTATGTAAGGTCTGTCCGTAATCGTGGAGTGTCTTGCAAAGAATAAAATGTGTAGGCTTTTGGCAGACGACATGCACTTGATAGAGTGTGATGCCCATGTACTTGGTACACACACCTACACTAAAACCCATACACACGCACACACTGGCTGGTGTTCGTGTGGGCTGTGGAACAACTGAGTATTAGGTTGGAATACCGATTGTGTTGATTGTTGAAACGTCACTCAATGTCCGAAGAGGACGGCTTAAGGCTGATCCCCTTAAGGGTCCGTACAGGATGACGTTCTCCTCTGGCGAAGCCAAACAGAGTGGCTTCATGATTGTGATGATTAACAATTGTTATGCTTATGAGTGATGATTATGATGATATGATGATCATTGATGGTGGTTAATGAGGATAATGACAGGGTGCTCTGTTCATGAGCACAATAGTTCGTTTAGCATTTTGCACTTAGTAGGGAAGGAATATTAAATTTGTGAAGACATATCCGAGAGAGCACCCCTAATAGCCTTCTTAGATAGCACACGGGTCTAAATGAATGGTCTCTGTGGTGCCCATTCTTCCCTCATATTTTCCCACATCAACATGCCATTTGACGGGAATGTTTGGTGGGCGGGCGAGGTCTTCCATTGCCTCATCCGTCTCATCCTTATAACGCATGTCCTTTCTGTTGTAAAGGATAGAGTCCGATAGACTGATTTTTTCATGTTCATTCCACACTTTCCCTTTGCCTGCCTTTGGTTTGTCCTCTTTCCATCTATATCCCCTCTTTCCTTACTCTGGCTCTTTTTCAGTGTACAAGATGGGCATTATGGGAGACGTGGATGTGGGTGGCTCACATTTACAACTTCATCAATGTGGTGAGCCTCGCACATGAGAACCAAAGTAAGGGGGGAGCTAAAAGAAGAGAAGCAAAGAGGCAACTGTAAGGACAGAAAAGGAACAACTGCATGTGAAGAGGCATGCTCTCCATGTCTGTATTGTATATGTTTATACTGTTTGTGCGGTTAGGGTAGTTTAACATGCCACGTCCTTGGGGCTTGGCCTGCTTGTACGGAATGGAAAAAGGCTGGTTACACCAGGCAAAAAAACACGATTTTGCAGCAGCGCCGATTAAGTGAAATTTGGTGTGTGGCAGACATTGGCATTGTAAGAATGGTGCTCGAATGTACTGGTGGTTTAGATCGCCACGAATGTACTAGTGGTTTCGATCGCCACGAATGTATTGGTGGTTTGAACTACCACTATGTCCAAAGACAAAGAAGTTTTCCAGCCAGCACCAGGGTGAGGTGGCATGCACCATTTCTTTGTCTCTTGTAGAATTGTGGGAGAATACGCAACCTTTTTTTCATTATGGTTTCTGCTAAGTCAATTTGGTACTAGGCTAGCATTGCACCTAACCCTACCTGTAAAGGTTCCTTGAAAATTTTGGAGAAGCAGCGGTGAAGGTGAGCGCCTAGTAATGTATGACCAAAAGGCTAGTGAGGATGGGAATGGTTACAGAACGGGATGCTGGACCTGGTTTCCAGCAAGGTACTGTGACGAACCATCTTCTGTAATCGCGCGACTTTCTGCGCGAAGCTGTGTGGGGGAATACGATGGGCCGAAGGGGGCGAGCTGCGGAAAGATGGGTAGGGCGGGCAAATTGCATGGATGTCCTCGTCTCTTTTTCGTTTTCTGTTGGGAGTGTCGGATCGGTGTCAGGAAGATCCCGTGCCAACGGTTGGGAAGCCGCGCCTTAGCAAGCACAAGAAATAACTGTACCATAGCTTCTTTCTTGTTTCGTTGTGAGCACTGGGATTTTTGGCACGATCATCGCGTGGGAATATCGTTTTTGTATTTTCAACTGACGACGAGCCCTCATGGGCTTGCGAAATTGTTTCTCTCTTTTTCGGAATTTCCTTTTGCAATTAGGACTTAGGCTAGGAGTTTAGGAACGCTTAATTTCGCTGCACCGCGCTTGCGCGCATCTTGTTGCGCTGGGAACTGGGCTCTGATTGGATCGCGCCCTTAATCCTGTGCAATTGTCGTTTTTGGTGGGCGCGATTGTAACTGTATCTTTCTTCTTTCTTGGTTCCCTTGTGTTTGCCCGCCTGCGTCTTCTTCTTCCTCGCCTCGCATACTTTGCTCTAATTGGCCGGAGCGCCTGCATGACCGGATCGATGCGTGGAGTGTGGCTGCGACCCCCATGCCGCGGCCTGGCCATGCAGACGTAGGCACTTCCTCTCTTCTCCTCTTGTTCACTTCGGCTTAATCCCGTACCTTTCTCGCAGGCATACATGCTATAAATTTCGCAAGCGTGATTAGTTTGCTCTCTAAGAATTTCAAGGTTAGCACAATCAGTGAGGGTCGGCAAACGAGTACGTTTGGAAGGTGAGTGCGTGTGAGAGTTGGGCGATCCGACGAGCTGGTGTCGGGTATGTGGGGTTGACGTGCGGGGCCGCAACGGAGTGTGGCGCACGGACGAACCTGGCTTGCATGCTCGAACCAAGCGGGGTGACAACTCGGTGTTGATACGCGGCGACGGGCTGCCGGTATCGGGGGTGGGGAGAAGAGAGAGAGAGAGAGAGAGAGAGAGAGAGAGAGAGAGAGAGAGAGAGAGAGAGAGAGAGAGAGAGAGAGAGAGAGAGAGAGAGAGAG